CTAAGAAATCTTCCAGTAAGAAATTGAGACCCAGCTTCGCTGAATTTCTTAGCCCCCTTGCGAGAGCCAGCTTTGAAGCGTGCAATTTCTTAGCGCAGCGCGACGCCAGTGTGGGTGGTTCCGATGAAGATTGTGCCGGTGATTGTGCAAATTGCGGCGCCGGGGGCTCTGCAGCAAACAACATACAGGAACACGTCAAGATCTGGGCGAAGATCGGGGTGGTGATCTGGGGGAAAATCTGGGGGAACAGCCAGAGCAAAATCCGGGAGGCGATCTATGGAAATCAGTAAGAAGATCTGGGGGAAGATGTGGAGGAAGATCTGGAGAAATATATGCAGGAACATATGGAAGGAGATCTGGGGGAGTATTTGGATGAACGAACGGGGAACAAGCTAGAGGAAGATCTCGATGAAGATCTGGAGGGAGATCTGGAGGAAAATCTGGAGGAAGATCTGGAGGAAGATCTGGAGGAAGATTTGGAGGAAGATCTCGAGGAACCTCCGGAGGAAGATCTGGAGGAAGATCTGGAGGAAGATCTGGACGAAGATCTGGATGAAGATCTGGAGGAAGATCCGGAGGAAGATCCGGAGGAAGATCTGGAGAAAGATCTATGGGAAGATCAGGAGGAAGATCAGGAGGAAGATCTGGAGGAAGATCGGGAAGAAGATCTGTAGGAAGATCTGGAGGAAGATCTGGAGGAAGATCCGGAGGAAGATCTGGAGGAAGATCTGGAGGAAAATCTGGAGGAAGATTTGGAGGAAGATCTGGAGGAAGATCTGGAGGAAGATCTGGAAGAAAATCTGGAGGATGATCTGGAGGAAAAGTTCTGGAGGAAGACCTTGAGGAAGATCTGGAAGAAGATTTGGAGGAAGATCTAGAGGAAGATCTGGAGGAAGATCTGGAGGAAGATCTGGAGGAAGATCTGGAGGAAGATGGGAGTGGATATGGGAGAAGATCTGAAACGACGATATGGGAAAAGATATCGAGGAAGATCTAAAAGAAGATATTGGGATTCATGAAAAGGAAGATTTGGAGGAACATCGGACGAGATGTGTGAAGATATTGATGAGGATCTGCGGGGAGATCTAAAGAAATATCATGCAAGCTGGAGGAAGATCCGGAGGAGGATCTGGAGGAAAATCTGGAGGATGACCAGGAGGAAGATCTGGACAATTCTGGAGGAAGATCTGGAGGAAGACCTGGAGGAAGATTTGGAGGAAGATTTGAAGGAAGATCTGGAGGAAGATCTGGGGGAAGATCTGGAGGAAGATCCGGAGGAAGATCTGGAGGAAGATCTGGAGGAAGAAGGAAGAGTTCTGGAGGAAGATCCGCAGGAAAATCTGGAGGAAGATCTGGAGGAAGATCTGGAGGAAGATCTGGAGGAAAATCTGGAGGAAAATCTCGGGGAGGAAGATCTGGAGGAACATCTGGAGGAAGATCTGGAGGAAGATCTGGAGGAAGATCTGGAGGAAGATCTCGATGAAGATCTGGAGGAAGATCTGGACGAAGATCTGGAGGAAGATCCGATTGAATCCAGGGAGAAGATCTGGGTGAAGATCTGGGGGGAAGATCTGGAACAAGATGGGATGGAGGAAGATCTGGGAGGAAAATCTGTGATGAAGATCTGAGAGGGAGATCTGGGAGGAAGATCTGGGAGGAAGATCTGGGTGAATATCTGGGTGAATATCCGGGAGGAAGATCTGGAGGGAAGATCAGGTGAAGATCTGGGAGGATGATCTGGAGGAAGATCTGGAAGAAGATATGATGGTTATGCTGGTGGCTCTGTTGGTGGTTGCGCTGGTCTCTGTGCTGTCGGTCGTGCTGCTCGTTTTGATGGTGGTTTCGCTGGTGACGATTTTGCTAGTTGCGATAGTGGTTGCGCTCGTGGTGGTGGTGGTTGCGATGGTATTTCTGCCACTAGTTTTGCTGGAGAGGCGGATGGTGTGGCTGGGGATTGTGCTGGCACGGTGGCGGAGGAAACACCCAGTGGATAAAGTGCTGGTGCGTTGGCGGAGATTTCGAATAAATTTCTGTGTTAATACTTGCGCCGGTGGTTTTGCTGGACATGTTGCTGGTGGTCGCGTTGTTCATTCTGCTGGTGATTCTGCTGGTGGTAGCCTCGTCCGCACTTTTCTCCTCCTCCTCCTCCGCCTCTTCCTCCTCCTATTCCTCCTCCGCCTCCTCCTCCTCATTGTTCCCGTCCTTTTCCTTTCCTTTTCTTCCTGCTCGTTTTCCTCCTCCGCCTCCTCCTCCTCCTCCTCCGCCTCCTCCTCCCTGTCCTCCTCCCCTTCCTCCTCCTCCTCCTCCTCCTCCTCCTCCTCCTCCTCCTCCTCCTCCTCCTCCTCCTCCTCCTCCTCCTCCTTCTCATACTACTCCTACTCCTCCAAGCGAAGCGCGCGGCACGTCCTTGGAAGAGGGGCTTCCGTTGAATATCTGGAGGAACAGCCGGGAGGGGAAGATCTGGAGGAAGATCTGGGAGAAGATCTAGAAGAGAGATCTGAGAGAAAATCTGGGGGAAGATCTGGTGAAAGAGCTGCGTGGCGACCCGGAGGAAGATCTGGAGGAAGATCTGGAGGAAGATCTGGGGGAAGATCTGGAGGAAGATTTTGGGGAAGATCTGGAGGAAGATCTGGAGGAAGATCTGGAGGAAGATCTGGAGGAATTTCTGGAGGAAGATCTGGAGGAAGATCTTGGGGAAGATGTGGAGGAAGATCTGGAGGATGATGTGGCGGAAGATCTGGAGGAAGATCTGGAGGAAGATCTGGAGGAAGATCTGGAGGAAGATCTGGAGGAACGAACGAACGAACGAACGCCGGATCCGCGCGCGCGCCGCATGGGCGCCCGCGCGCGCCCGTTAGGGCGTGGCGGTGGAGGCCGTGGCCTCGATATGGAAAATAACAACTCAATGCTGTGAAACATAAGTGGATTCATGTCTTCTCCACCAATCAGAATGCGCGGCAGCCCGAATCCATCGCAAGTCGTTGGTATTGTTGTGTTCGTGTTGTCGGGGAGCAGTCGCTGCCAAAATGTCTCCCTGCCCATCGCTGTCGTCGTCGTCGCAAGTACTCCCGTTTAAGGTATGTAGGAACTTCCGGATGTCATCCTCCCAACGTTTATGTTGGCCTCCATGCCGTCTCCACCCTTGTTGCTTAGCGTTGGTGTTTGGATCCCATCCTAGTGCTCGCTGTGTCCAGCGTGTCGTGGGGTGGTTCGCCACAGTGGTTGCCCATCGCCAAACCATCCGTCGTTGTATGTGTAGCACGTCGGGTATGTCGTGCTTGAGCATCATTGTTTCCGCAATCCGTGTGCTCCTCTGAATATATTCCGACCATGGCTCAATACCGTCGTCGGGCCCCGCTTCCGGCTGTGTCGCCTCTTCGCTGTCGTAGTCCTGAGGGTCGTCGTGGTCGGTAGGTGGGTTGCTGCATACGTCTGATTCGCTGGTGTCGTTGTCGGTCGTCACAGTGTCGCCGGTGTCGTGCCCATTGCTTTGGCTCGTCTCTGGGTTAGGGCGTGGTGTGGGTGAGGGTGTCGTCCGCCGACGTGGCGTTCCGATAATCATTCTGACCATTCGACGTTGTGTTCTGCGCAACTGTTGTTTGAGGGGTTCTGTTAGAGTCCACGTTTCGGCGCCATACGTCATTGTAGGTATTACGGTTCCTCTGTATAGTCGTAACCGGTTGCCCAGTGGATAATGTCCGCTGGTGAGCTCCTGTCGATAGCTACTGAAGCATGCCCACGCTGCACGAATGCGGTGTTTGAGTTCTGTCGCAATGGCGTCGTGAAATGTAATGGCCTGTCCCAGGTATTTGATAGTGCCGGTGTGTGGTAGCACTTCGATGTCCATGTCTGCGACTCTGACCAGGCGTGCGCGGTGGCGGGACTGGTTGGTCAGGATTTTGGTTTTGGTGGGGTGCAGTTCCAGACCGTGCGGCCTGGCTGAGGCGATCAGGTCGGAGAGCATGGCCTTCAAGTTGGGCAGCGATTGGCTGACCAACAAGATGTCGTCGGCGAAACGGAGATCTGGAGGAAGATCTGGAGGAAGATTTGGAGGAAGATCTGGAGGAAGATCTGGAGGAAGATCTGAAGGAAGATCTGGGAGAAGATCTGGGGGAAGATCTGGAGAAAGATCAGGGGAAAGATCTGGTGAAAGAGCTGCGTGGCGACCTGGAAGGAGATCGGGAGTAAGATCTGAGAGGAAATCTGAAGGTAGATCTGGTGCAAGATCTGGGTGAAGATCCAGGGGAAGATCTGGGAGAAAACCTGAAGGAAGATCAGGGGAAAGATCTAAGGGAAGATCTCGATGAAGATTGGGGGGGAGATCTAAGGAGGGATTGATCTGGGCGAAGATCCGAAGGAAGATCTGGGCGGAGATCTCGGAGAGGATTTGGGCGAAGATCTGGGGGAAACTCTCGGAGAGAATACAGAAGAAAATCGGGAAGAATATCTGAGGGAAGATCCAAAGGAAGATCTCGGCGAAGATCTGGAAAAAGATCCCGAAGATCTGGAGGAAGATCAGTAAGAAGATGCCGGCGTTAAGAAACTGAGCCAGCTTTTGGGAAGTCATTATCGAATTTGAAAAAAATTGAGACCCAGCTTGGCGGGAGGGAGTTTCTTAGCAGAAGATATGAGTGTAGTTACTATTACGACTACCACGCCTACTTCCAATATTACTCCGAGTCCTAGTCCTAGTCCTAGTCCTAGTCCTAGTCCTAGTTCTAGTCCTAGTCCTACTCTTGCTCGCACTCCTACTCCTAACTCGAGTTTCCCCTCTTGTCCTCCTCCTCCATCCTCCTCCTCATCCCATCCCTTTCAGAACGCCACCTCCCTGAAACACCACATACCATTGCCGGCCGACGAGAGATTGCAGGACGGTCTGGCCTCGCCTCGTCGACCGGCGAAATGCCCCCGAGGTCCCGCGCCCCCGCGTCAAGGCATTCCAGCAGCAAGTCCCCGCCGTCGTCGCTCGCGTCCGCCAGGTTTGGGGGGACCTGGACGACCACGTCCTGGGCCGGCGGGAAGGGCGCACCCGAGAACGTGTGGGGAAGTCTTCCGAGGACGAGCGCGCTGATCCAGTCTTGGGAGCGAGTCAATAGAAGGTGGCCATACATGGGGGGGGGGACAGGAGCCGCTCTCGGGCCCTAGGCACCTTTCTGGGCTCGAAAGAGCCTCATTTGAATGCTCTGTTTCGCCAGCATGGTTCGCCGGGTCGTATTCTGGGCAACTCGCATACCCGAGAGGTTGGTCCAAGCGCCGGCGTCGACGACGACGCCCAGCAGGCATCCTGAAAAAATATGCGCCTGCCAGGTACTGCGGCGAGTCGTCCTGGGAGCTCGAGCCTGTGCCCACCGAGCTCGGCCACCACGGAAGTGCAAGTCCGTGCGATGTAGGCCACGGAGGCATGTGCAAGTCCAGGTGACCGTCGCAGGGCACTGGCGCATCTACCGCGGACGCGAAACTGGAAGCAACGCCTGGGGATCTCAGGAGATTTTGCCGCGGTGTCCCCGGTGTTGGAACTGGTCGATGAGAAGGCGCTGTGTCCTGATGTGGTGGTGCCTTCTGCAGCCCGTGCCCTGCTGCTGCGTCGCGGGTCGGCGACGCAATTGTCGGAACCGCCGTGCACCACCTGCGCCAATGATGCGAAGTCGGCGATGACGTCGGCCGGTCCGCGGCGCGCCATGCAGGAAACCAAGCTGGTTTCCGTATTCTGCATAAGTTACAGGCGGCGTGCGCGATGCAGAATGCGTCGGCACTGCAGTCGCGCAGCCCTTGTCGGCGTGAACGAAAGCCGCGAGACAGATAGGGCGCCCCGTATCGTCGCCGTTAGAAACGGCAGCTGTGGAAGGTATAGCTGGCGCGGCAGCCAGCTCTGGAGGAGGGTTTGTCGGCGTCTCTGCCAAGTCCGCGCGGCTTGGCGCTGCCGGTTTGCCTGTAGTCATAACAGCTTCAGTGCTGGCTGCACGCCGCGGAGCTCGTCGAGGTGTCGTCGTCGAGCGCGGTCGAGGGTGGAGTGCGCGACGTGCTCGGACCGATAGCCGCGGACATCCGTATCTCGCGGTCAGCGAAACAGATGGCCACCACCCCAACGGTTGGCTCATGCCCGCCGGCCTGTCTGCGTCGAACAGGGCCATTCCAAAGGGCGTGTCCGACACTAACGGCGGCGCAGGTGCAGACGCCGCCTGCGGCGGCCACATGGAGCTCGATCCGCATGGAACGCCAGTGCCGAGCGAAGCCGCTGACGGCATGCGGGCCCAGCTCGGCAGTTGCACGTCGACAGCTGGCGGCGCGCGGGCAGCAGCCCGAGCGCGGCGGCCGCCCGGCCAACCGCGCCCCTGGTCCTGTCCCAAAGGGGAAGCGCCGACAACTCGCGTCCATGGCGGCAACGCTGGCGACGTCGTCGGAGCTGTCGGCGCCGTCGGCGCGATCGGCGCTGGACCCCCCGCTGCTGCCGAGCGGCATTGCGGCGCAGTTGCGCTGCCCACTGGCTGAGCAGAGGCCTGCGCGCGGCCCGCGAGATCGCCCATCTCCTGTCGCTGTCGTCGCATCTCGGCATCGCGGAGATCGGGCGACGCCGGCGGAGATGATGCACCCGCCAAACGTGAGCGCTGACTGCGGCCATTCTGTCGCCGCGATCCGTCGGGCGACGAACTTGGCGGAGTGGCCGCTGCAGCTGGCCGCGGCGCTGCCGACGCCGGCGCAGGCCGTCCGCCGCCCCGGGGATCGGCGCCCTGCGTCGGGCCACGCGCGCCCGAACCTGTGGGCGCAGCGCAGTCTGCCCATGGCCAACGAAATCCCTGATCATCTAAACCGCGCGCGCGCCCGTCAGGGGCTGCTGCGTAGCTGGGATCGGCCCTTGCCGCCCCGGAGCCGACGGCGGCGCGGGCGCTGGTCGCGCCCGCGACATGCGAGTCGCACCCCGCCAGGGCCCGCAGGGTTGCCTTGCAGGCTCAGCAGCTCCAGCCGCAGCCCGCCCCCTCCCTCTCAATTGCCCTCTGGGCGCGGCGCGCGGGCCGACAGTTGTTGCGGCGTCGCCGCCGCGCTTCGACGCGCTCGCAAGCTCGGCGCAAATGCGCGCCGCGCTGTTCCACGGGAACATCGAATAGCCCGGGGTCGTCGGCAGCAATGTCACCTTCGCCGAATGAGCTGATAGCGTGGGTGTCGGTGCCTGAGTAAAAAGGCACCTGCTGGGAATGCCTTCTGCTCTGGCGGAGGCGGCGCAGGCGGGTTCGGCGCCGCCCCCAGCGCTGATGGACCGAGGCCGTCCCAGCTCGATCCGCCCGCAGTGCCGCAGGCACTCTGAGCCTGATCTTGCGCAGGCGCACCCGCGAAGAAGGTCTGCTGCTAGGGCGGAAGATCCGCTGGGGCGAGATTGCCGGGCAACCCCTCGACCGCGCGCCCAAGTCGTCGGAATTGACCCGTCACGCAAGCGAGTTGCGCTGCGTACGTCCCATGGTCAGTTGCACGTTTGACACTCCCACAGCGCGCAAGGAGGAAGAAGCTCAGACCCTCGTGGTCGATGCTGATTTGACCAGCTTGCTGAGTGCGGTTGCGGAAGATGTCAAAGCGCGCGAGGAGATTGTCGATGCGCTCCCGCGGCAGTCGATTGATGCCCATGAGTGCTGAGACTGCCGAGGCTCGCTCTTCCTTGCCCAGCTGGCCCCGACGTTCGGCCAAACTGCGCAGCGGTTAGGTCATCGGTGGCACTGGGCTGCCGTTGACGGCACCTCCCTGGACGAGGGCAGCCGGCGGCCATTCGTCCACGCACTCTCGGGCCAAGCCGGTGAGCCCCGATGAGACGCAGGCACATTGGCGACACTCGTTGAGGTTGGAGCTCGACACTGGCCATATCATCACCTCCCGCACCCAACGTTGGAGAGGGAACCCGAGATTGTTGCTGCCCCTTCGCCCATGCAGGTGAGGCAGCTGGCCAGAGCCAGCATGCCTACTCCGATGGCCTCCCATCCAGAGTGGAGGTCCTCCATGGCTCCAGGAGGCGCTGGAGGCCAGGGGCCCGCCGACGGCCTTGCTCTGACCATGGTCCTCGATGCCGTCGTGGGCCCCTGCCCCGAATGTGTTCCTCTTCGTCAACGCATTAAGTATTGCCTGCTGTCGCGTCGTTGCGGGCGTCGTCAACCGAGACACTCCGCAATGCAGTTGCGCCGGTGCCCCGCGTGCGTCGCGTGGCCACTGTGCTGGGGGCCGCCGCTCTCACGATAGCCCAGAGGAGTGCGCACCGGGATCTCGCCCTATTGATGTACTGCCCCTTGGAGATCTGACAACATGATTGATTGTCCGACACTCCACAGGGACCCCTTTCCTATCAAAGTTTTGTTTTGCCGACTGCTTTGCAAGGGTTTCCGCAAGATAGTTGCGGGGCGCGCGGGGCCACGTGCCGACGCTGTTGTTGATGGGGGCGAGTCTTTATTATCACTATTCGTTCCGACAGGCACCGACGGTGGCCCCAACATAGTTGGAATGCGCCCCCCGAAGGGAAAGAAACAAGCTGCGGCGGCAACGGGTGGGCGCAGCGTTCCCTGTAGTGCATGACGCCGTTCTTGTACGGGTAGTTGTTTTTGCCGCGCGTCCTGGCGCAAAGGGAGAACCATAGACACAGAAGGCATCAAGATCCCGAAAAGGACCCTTGCCGAACAGGACGCAGGTGATGAAGTTGAGGCAGGCGGGCGAGAGACTTGCGGAGAAGCCGCGAGGGCCCTGGCGGCGGGAAGAGTACAGTCGGGGCGTTGGCCGAAGGAACCCTAAATAAGGAACGGGGCCCCTTTCTCCCATACTTTGAACTTCGATTTCCCATGGAAAACCCCAGGAAAACAGAAGGCAAACTGTCGAACACTCAAGGAACACCGAGCCCCTCCCCAACGAAAAGGGTTCCTTCTTCACGGCCCCGGCTGTATGGGTAATCCAAAGAAAACTGGGTCCCGCTACCAACTCGGAAATTTAGATATGCGAGCCGTTTGCCCTGAGCTACCGTGAACACGGTTACAGCTGACATCGCCTAGCGCGGGCAGGCAGGTCGGCCGACCACGTACCCAGGCCGGAACGGCTGAAGAGAAGGGCGGCCATTAACAGAGGCAAGGAGGATGAGGAGGAGGAGGATGAGGAGGAAGAGGACGAGGAGGAGGAGGAGGAATGGGGAGGAGAAGGAGGAGGAGGAGGAGGAGGACAAAGAAGAGGAGAGGGAGATGGAGCGAGGAACGAGGAGCGAGGAACGAGAAAGAGGGGGAGCGAGGAGGAAGAGGGAGGAGGTTAAGGAGGGAGGAGGACAAGGGGGGGGAAGCGGAGCGATCCCCAAGCGACCCCCCGTCACTGCAGTGGCGGCTCGCACGCACGCCGGTGTGGAACACCAACACAATGGGGTAGATCTGCTCGCGGGAGTTTCTGTGTGCGAAATCCATCACCCCGCAACATATCAGTCAAACCCAACTTGATGACCTGCAAACACAAAGAACACAGAGCGATAAAGAAACGGACACGTTCAATGTTGCTCTCCGAGAGGACGATCGTCGCCAAGCCGCTCTTGGGAGTCACTCTGGGGAACGATGGCCAGAAAACTGCTGGTAGAGAATATCGGTACGTCAGTTCGCCCTGCGAGGTACGGAACTTCGGGCACTCGCAGACTAAGTGCCGCATGAATGGGTAGAGCTCGTCGCAGAACTCGCATTGTTTGCCAGATTGGCGCCGCGTCTCCGTCGCACCCGCTCCCGAGCGGAATATCCAACACACAGACGTTCATGGACAGAGAGCTTCAGGTACAGTGGCGAGTAGATCTTGGTGTAGCATGCTTCCACAAGAATCTCTTGCGTATCCAATATTGATGTGCGTGCTGAAAAATTGTGTCACATGTAGCTGCACTGGCCAAAACCTGACCCAATTCGTCACATGATTGGGCCGTCATCGACTCCGCCAAGGCTGCACCAACCGGGGCATGGCCAGGCCGCGCCACAAACGTGTCGAACCGCGTCTGGAAAGGAGGCCACGACCATCGCTGTCCGCCACGTCATGACAAATATGGTCGTATGCTTTTGACATACTCAGTGCAATACTGTCGGCGCTCTCCTCGGAGTCGTGTAGCCAGAAGGAGCTGGTGTGGGCCACGCTGACCGTCTTGCAGTTGGCCCATTGATTTGTGGGAGACTTCGGCGTAGAAGGCGATAGCGCCCTAGCCAAATGCGCAAAATAATTGTGCGGACACTAATCGGACGCGCGTCCTCGTCGTTCCGTGGAAGACCAACCGCGCGCCACGCGAATAGGTGGTTTAAGTAGGTCAGCTGGTGGATGGCCTTGTGATTGCACACAGATTGCCGCCGTGCCCTTCCACAACGCAAAGAGCTCCCCAACCAGCCGAGGGAACAACTTCACGAGCGCACGCATTTCCCGAAAGGACCAACCATCCAGTCCAGGGCAGCCCTTGGAGTGTTTCATGGCCTGTTGGGAGCCCTCCAATGTCGGTATCCAGTCGGCCGGCAGCGTCGCAAGCGAGAAGACCCCTTGGGCCGCGTGCTGACGCCAGCGGGCCGCATGGCCAGAGCCGTCAACATTGGATGGGCACAACTGCTTCTCCCAGTGCTCACGTATGTCTCTCGCGTGGCAGCCGGAACAGGGCAGGGGTCGCTCGGAACACGGGCGTCGCCACGGCGAAGATGTCGCTGGTCCGGCTCGCGAACTTCGCCTTCCAGGCGGGCCGCGCTGCACGTTGTAGCTTGGCGTTCTCCCTCGTGGTGGCCGAGGTGGTGTGTGCCAGAGCGTCCGAGCAGGTCGGTTTGCCTGGGCCGTCCGTGGTGAGGAGGGCCTCGAACGCAGCTCTGGCGTACTGCTGAAAGTGGCGTGGGGGGTTGAGCTCCTCCGACGCAGCTACGCCCTGGCGGAGGTGCTCCGAGAGTTGGCGATGAAGTCGGAGATAAGAGCGGTGTGCGGTGGTCTGCTCAGGACGAGGCCTCCGAGCGTTGGCCACTGGGCGGTGGGTCGGAGGAGGACCCTCCGGCCTCTCTGACGTCCACGTGAGGTCCCCCCCCCCGCTGTACCACCACGAGCAGAGCCGTCCCGGCCCGCCGATGCCGGTACTGCCGGCGCTCCACCAAGAGAGGCCCAATGTCGTCCAGGTTCATGTCGATGGTGCCGTCGTGGGGCGGTCCGCTCGGGTCGGGCGAAAGGGGGGGATAGCAAAGGGGGGGGGTGAGAATCAGCTCAAGTAGCTGATTTTCCTGGCGCCTCCCGGCGCCAGAGGCGGCTATGTATCGAGGAATGGGCCCCTCGGTGGGGCCGAAACCAGCTGCATGCAGCAAATTTCGTAACCCCCCCTTTCCCAATCCCCCCCTTTCGTCCGGTCCGATCCGCATTCCATGTCTAGGAGCTCCCGAAAGAGAATACCCTCGGGGTTGTCAGAGTCGCGTACCTGCTCGTAGCCAGCCGTACGATGGACGCAGAAGGCAGGCAGCTGCACGTACGGGATGTTTAGCTCGTAGGTTGGGAATCCGTGGCGAAAGTTCCCTGGCAACAGCTTGCAGCCAATGAACCGTGGTGCTGGCGCTTGTGGTAATCCCAAGGTTACGGCGCGTGTAGGTGATGTCCCCACTGCGGTGGTAACCAGCGAGGTGCCATCATTCGATACATCCAGCTTCCAACCAATCGGGAGCAATGCGTTGTACGGATATCTCCAGTTGAAGTCGCCCACAATGAAGGTAGGGTGGCCCAGAGGGCTCGCATTCTGAAACCAATCCAGAGTATCTGCCCACCAGGGACGGTCGTAGCTGTTGAGCCCGTAGACCGAGAAAACAATACATTTCGTAGTTCGAGCGCCAACGATCCGATCACAGCGACGACGATCATCATCCCGAAGAATCGTGACTCGGCCAGGCAATCGGCGCCAAATGATGACCGAACCACCCTGGTGCGTAGCATGTCTGCCGTCGGAAGTAGGACCAGGTGGGTGGGAGCATGACGCAGGCCAGCCAATGTTTCCAGCAGCTATGATAAGCCTTCGTGGGTGCCAGACGGACATACGGATCTCCTGCATGCAGAAGAATGCCCACCGATGAGTCAATACTTTCAAGAACCTCTTCCAATCTAGGTTTTGGTGAGACTTGTGACACTGACCGAAGCCACTCTTCATGACTGGACGTCTGGTGGCACGTCGTGGTGATCGTCGGGCTGTGACGCCCTCGCCCGCATGGGGTCCTTCTGCCCCTCGGGCGTCGACTCGCTGGCACGAGTCCTGGCGGAGGAAATCACGGGCAGCGGCTGCACCAGGCGGCGGGAGCGCCCCCGGCCATCCAGGCATCCGCCGAGCTGATTGATCCCATCCGCGGCCCCAGAGGTCCCGGCCCCTTCCCCAGGGGTGCAGTGTCTCGCCGCGACTCCGTCTTCGACAGCCCTGGGGCCCGATAGCGAGCCGCCGCAGAGGCCGAAATCGAGGAACCATGCCCGGATAGAGAAGACCCCATGGGACGCAGAGGACATACTGGTACTATGTGTCCTCCCCGGAGGCGCGCGTCCGACCCGAACATATAGTACACGAATGTTGTAGCCGATCGTTTCCCGAACGGTACGGCCAGAAAGCGCGCGCAACGACGCATATACTATAAGACCCCTCGGTGCGCGCGTCGCCCATGGCGGGGCGACGCACACATACTATCAGTATGTTGAGGTGACGCCGAGCATAGTCCGAGATCTATCACTGCACCGACCTTGCAGACGTGCTGCAGCGGATTTTTGAGTGGATTTCTGCCCATGCAAAACCCTGAAACGGCGAGTGAAAAACGAAATTAATATAGCGCGGATGTTTGTTCGTCTTCGCTCCTGGCCCCAAAAAAATCCGCGCGAAATTCACCTCGAAATCTGGAACGAAACTCTCCAGGACACTCCAGGCCCATCCCATCGTTTTCCGCACGAGATCCGCTCTGCGATGTTGGCGCCATGGGATCTAGGTTCTTAGAGGCAGGAGCAGCAGCAGCAGCAGCAACCTCCCTACTTATCCTGACGCCTGGTCTGTGGACGCTCGACTTTTTCGTCGCCCCTGCGCTTCCTGCCCGCTTGTTCTTCCCTTGATCGCTTCTTGTCCGCTTTCCCTTCCTCCTTTTCAGTGTGCAGCTGAGCATCGCTTGACCGATCCCCGTTTCCAGCGGCGTGGCCTGGGCCCCACTGGCCGACTTACCCCCCCCCCGATGGGGATACGGGTCGTTCCCTTCGGGTTTCGAGGGGCGCATCCCCAACAGGGGCGGCAATTTGGTGGGAGTCTCGAAGGGCATGGAGACGAGGATGGGCATACAGTCGGGGCGCTGAGGAAGGAACCCTTTCCGTTGGGGAGGGGCTCGGTGTTCCTTAATTGTTTTGCAGTTCGCCCTTGGTTCTGCTTAGGACTCCGATGGGAGATCGAAGTTTAACTTATGGGAGAAAGGGGCCTCGTTCCTTATTTAGGGTTCCTTAGGTCAACGCCCCGACTGTAGGACAAACGCTACCGAGCAGCAGCAGCAGCAGCAGCAGCAGCAGCAGGCAGCAGGCAGCAGGCAGCAGGCGGCAGGCGGCCCCGCGTCCTCGGGCAGCAGCCGCCGCGCCAGCGCCACTGCCTCCACCAGCGCCCCCGCCGGGAAGCGCCCGCCGGCGCCCGACGCCCCCAGCGCCTCGCGCGGGAACGGGGGGCGCAGGGGCGCAGCACGACAACGGCGACGACGGCGCTCGGCGACGACGCACGACGACGACGCACGACGACGGCGAAGACGACGACGACGCACGGCCTCGACGACGACGACGACGACCACGGCGACGACGACGACGACGCTCGAAAACGACGACGGCCTCGACGACGACGACGACGACGCACGATGACGACGACGACGACGACGACGACGACGACGAAGACGACGACGACGACGACGACGACGACGACGACGACGACGACGACGACGACGACGACGACGACGACGACGACGACGACGACGACGACGTACGACGCACGACGCACGACGCACGACCGGGGCGGCGGCGGCGGCGGCGGCAGCGGACGACGACGATGCGGGACGAGGCAAGACGAGCGACGACGGCCGACGGCGGCGGCCACGACGGCGGCGGCGGCGGCGGCGGCGGCGGCATCGGCGGAGGCGGCGGTGGCCGCGCCGCGGGCGCCTCGCGCGATCCCGGGGTGTAGGGCTGCATGACGGCGAGGGGCCGAGAGGGCTTTCCCCCCCCCTCTGGTCGTTCGGCCGCCCGCTCGCGGGGGGGGGGGGCGGGAGCAGCGAGGCAGGTCCAGAGCAAGAGGGCGTCCAGGAGTTCTTCGCGAGGGGGGAAGGGTAGGAGGGAGGAGGGAGGAGGGAGGAGGGAGGAGGGAGGAGGAGGAGGAGGAGGAGGAGGAGGAGGAGGAGGAGGAGGAGGAAGAGGAGGAGGAGGAGGAGGGAGGAGGGAGGAGGAGGAGGAGAAGGGCAAGGAAGAAACACAGTGAGGTCTGCTGGGAGGACGAGGAGAACGAGAAGGATGAGGGATTGAGGAAAAGAAGTCCCACCAGCCCTTCAGGGCGTCATTGGCTTAGAAAGTTTCCTCTTCCACCCCCCCCACCTGCTCCCCCTTCGAAGAGGGGTTTACCACTGACCCCCATTAATAAACACCCTCTCCCCCAGGCGACAGGCAGCCAACCAGAACCAATGCGACCCCCGCCATTCCTGTTAGAAAACATTTCGAACACAAATTTTGCGGCAAACTCTTGGGTTATGCTCGTAGGTTCTTATTGCCTGCTTCGCGCAAGGCCACTATCCCTTTCAAAAAGCACTATCCGCACTATCCCGCGCATTGATTCGAAGAACATTTGCGCTCAAGGAACACGTCCGATAAGGAGCATTTCCGCGTTCGCCACTATCTGATCGAGCATCGATGCCATTTGCTCTCCAATGCCCGCAGTCCCCTATTATGTAAACGACGGTGGAACAGTTGATTGTCGAGTGTTCAGGCTGTGTCGCCCGCGTCGACCCCAAGACGATACATTGGTCTTTTACCGGGGAGCTGCGCGCATAAATCTTACGCATGAAATGTGCAAGCGAGGAGGCTTCTAAAAATATGAAAGACGGCTCCGCCTAGGCGTAGAAATACAACATAACACTAGTAAGGATGCTGGGAAGGAGACTGACAACGTTGCAAAGGGATCCGGGACCCATCAGAATATGATTCAGGAGATCAGGAACAGGATGGGAGATCTGTCCACCAATGTCGATCAGAGCCTCAACATCTCCAGCCAGGCCATGGTCGACGCCACCGCAGCCAAGCAGAGGCCTGGAGGGCGAGCTGAAGAAGACGAACCAGGAGATGCAAACCATCAAAAAAGAGGTGGAACGATTCAAAGGCGCAAGGGAACGTACACCTACCCTAAATAAAATAAAACAGTATTACATCAGAGACCGGCATGTTGTCTCGTTCGACTCTGAGGAAGAAACCGAGACCAAGGTGATTATCCATAAGATCGAAACAATCCTAAAAAACCTGACTGGAGAAGGGCATGGTGCGAATGTCGATAGTTTCAGCAACCCAGCGAAATCGAGCAAGCATTGCGTTTAGGAGTATTGGGAAACAGTTTCCTTTTACAAGCTAACCTAACCCAGCAGGAGGACAATGACCACCTTCTTGATGGACTCCTTTTCCGCAAGAGCGCCACTATCGGAGAGAGGGCTCGACATCAAATCCTGGGGTACACGAAGTTCCATATCAAGAAAGCGAACACATTCAAGGATGGTGACCGTGAAAGGCAAGAAGGTCGCATGGTTCGATGATGACGGTGAGTGGCACACCACAGTCACTGCCAAAGAGGTGGATGCCAGCGTGAAGGCGTCCATGACGAAGTGGCAGTCCAAGGTGGATCCGGACCACGCCACGGAATCCGAGTGACCAGGCACACACTCGCTCAGACAGAACACAACCAGGCCACCTAGGGCGCGAAAACCGATTAGTCTTCACTCGTATCAACGTCGCATACATAGAAATCTACTTCAAGGGTTGGATCACGTTTCACCCGTCGAAGACAATGGAGAATTCGCTACTGCTTGCGATTCGCAATCAGGAAAAAAAGACCAAGATAAACCCCCACTACTGGCATCTAGTGCACCTTCCTGTTTTTCACCATCGGCAGAACCGCTGACAATGCTGGCGGTTCCGACTCTTGCTCTAAGACAAGATACTATCCCACCAGCCCTCTGGGCGCAGGTGGTCTAGGGCGTTTCCTTTTCCAGTATACTTCCTTTCCCTGCTTTGGAGGTTTACCTCCCTCCCCCACTCCGTGGGTCTGGACGGGCTCCCCCGTGAGGTGGCAGGGGGTCCCTTTTGGCTCAAGATGGCTCCGAGAGGGCCTTAAAACGCGGAAGATGGCCTCCAAGATGACCCAAGATAGCGGTAGATGGCCCAAGATAGCCTCCAACACACATCCAAGAGGCCTCAAGACGGCCCCAAGAGGGTTTCAAGTGCTCTCCGAGCCCTCCTAAGAACCCCCCAAGAGGCCAAACTCATCCGAAAACCAAAGGAAAAGCAATGCATCTTCCCTTATTGCTTTGTCGCCTCTGTTGGGCGATTGAGGCCTCAAGATGGCTCCAAAATGGCCCGAGAGAGCCCCACGAGGGCTCCCAGACGGCCCCAAGAGCGCACAACAGCGCCCCAATAATGGCCCAACAGGGCCCCGAGACGACATTGTTGAGCCTCCGATGGGGGGGGGGATAGAATTTAGTACCCCCCTCTTTGTGGGGCCCAAGACGGTCCCACGAGGCGTCCCAGACCCCCCCAATAAAGGCTCCAAGAGGTCCCTAAGACCTCCCAAGAGAGCCCCAAGATGGCCCTAAAAAGGCCCCAAGACGACCCCAAGAGGGCCCTAAGAAGGCGCCCAAATGGGATAACGAGTCTTCGAAGCACCCCTCCCCAAGGTCTATCCCCAAAGCCCGACTTCTCGCCCTCATTGTCATGTCCGCGACTTCTCCCTAAAGCCTCGACTGCTTGTCAAAACGCACGCGAGTTTAAGATGTAAAGCGGTGCCAGATCTAAGAGACAAGATGGCCAAATACAACTCTACTCTGCGCAACACTTGCGTCGGATCGTAAATTCATCTACCTGCACCAGACACGCTTTCCACAGGGAACACCACGGCGCATCTTGCACTGATTTTTTGTCGTGAACTTCACTGCGCGAAGCTATGTGTGGTCCTTCTTTGTGTTTTGGCCCCCGGGCACTGCCAACCCAATTTGGGCGCTTCTAAAAAGGCTGCGCGACCGCGTGCTTCCATGCGTCCCTGATAAACCAACTCACCTGGCAATCGTTTCTGAATGGGCTGGTGGGGATACGCGAAGCGTCAAGAAGTTGTACGGCTCCGGCTTCCAACCTGCACTTTCCCACCTCCAACCTCCGACCTCCACAAGTACATATCCGACCTACCATTTCCGACAAAGATCTGGCACAGGGTGTTCCTGCGCATGTTCGTCGCCACGACCATCGTGGCAGCACACAAAGTTTGACAGGGATGTAGTGCAATACTTCTGGCGACGTCCCACTTTGCACCGTGCGCCATACGTCGGAATATGATCCGATGCTCCTCACCATCGGCGCCGGCAGCGTGACGTGCAATGAGGCCGTCGATGCTCCGACTTTTCCGGCAGGTCGGCGAAGTGGTCTTGAGCTTCAAAAGAGACGTCGCGCCTTATTACTTCCCGACTCTGGCGCCCGTTTCCCGCGCTCCCCAACGCTACGTAGGTTCCTGACCCTCCAAAAGGTCTCGTTGCAGGCGCTGTTTTATTGAAGTCTCCTTCGTCTCTGCACAATGCTGATCGGCATGGCGTTGGTATTTTGCACATGTGGCACAATAGTGTCCAGGGCTTCACCAACGACGACCGCGTCGATGAGGTCATGCGCGAAGCTCGGGGTATTCAATTCGATTTATTTCGAATCGACAAGATTGGCGCACGGACGAGCATGGATGCTCCGAGCTATCTGACGGCTTTATTGCTGTGAGAGTGAACGGGACAAGTCTTCGGCAATCATCATGCATCAACGGTGGGCTAAACACGTCCAGGGCTTCACACGGATGTCTGAATGGGCAGCGTACGTCGACGCATCGCGCCCTGGACTTCGATCCCGGCCGATGGCAGCATACTTTCCACAGAATGGCGATGGTGATTATTACGTCAATAGTTTGCATGCCGTTCTGACAGCTCTTCGGAAATAGGCCGAGAAGCTTCTCTCTCAGTCTTCGGCTCGGTTCCATGTACTGCCTGCGCTCTGCTTCTTCGGAGACGGATCGGCGACACTGCGTGCTATGCGAGACAATTGGAGGCACGAAAGGGAAAGGAGAAGGCCGGCTGAGGGGGGGAGGGGGGAGAAAGTGTGTTCACAAGAACTCTCGGACCCGTGTCCCAAGCGGCGACCTCGGCCTCGAAAGCGCTCTTGCAGCGTCGGAGGCACGCGCCCCCGGGAGCCACGACGGCGCCGCTGTCCCCATGTCCAGGAGAGCGCAGGCAGAGGCTCCGATGCCAGCCGAAAACCCGCCGTCGCAGCAGAACATCAGACGCAATGGTTTGCTTTCGACAGACGAAATCTCCTGCCAGGACCGGCACCTTCCACCCAAGGGCGCGTTTTGCAATGTGGTCGGATACATTGCTGTGACGGCGCGGCTGCCACTGCGCAGCGCTGGCTGCCGTGGCTCGTGGCTCCCAACCCCGCGCTGAAAGCAGCCAATGCGGAGAATCCGCGCAAAAAAACCGGACGATATGAGTCATCTGTCAGCACCGCGTGTCCGTTGACCAAATCGGCAATAGTTTGAATAACAACCCTGATCATGATTCGTTGCCCACCGCGGTCCCAATGTCCATCAGCAGGGTGCCGTCTTAACGATGGGGGTGTTGTCCATCGCGTGGGCGGCACGTTCTTCCCCTCGCCTCTCCGTACTGGAACCAACGGGAAAGGATGGTTGGGGGAGATGCCAAGCCGTGCGCAATGTCTCCGCGAACTTCCTGACGAGTCTCATCCGGTCATCGAGGGCGTCGCAGATGCGCAACATACCCCGCCAATGCAAACCGAAAGCGACGCAGAAAGGGGCATACCAATGAGATCGCACTGCGCCACGGGATCCGTGAAGCAATCCTTCTCGCCGTCGCTGGTTCCCAGAACTCATCAGCTTCAAGATGCGACGCGCG